AAAATACAAAGTCCTCAGAGAACAAACAAAAAAAATCTTTTAAAAAGATTTTAAAGAAAACAACAAACTAAACAAAAGGGAAATCTAATTATAAATGTAAGTAGGAGGAAAAAAACTATTTACAAATCAATTTAATCATTGTTAAAAGGAAGTACTGTATCTTCAATTTTCAACGTAATTTAGCTTTTAGACGATGCGCTGAGCCCAGACCAAATGGAATCACATTGTCCAGTTTTGTATCACACTTAGCGCAAAAACCTATTTGGAGCCTCTTGAGAGCTGACAAATTTGGCGATGCCAACTTTTCAAATATGGAACACCTGCATTCTGCCAGGAGACCATAAGTCCCCCTTTTCATAACACTTCAGTCTTGATATGTCTAAAGTTTTTCATAGCCTTAAGGACTTTAAAGCGTCTCTGGAACAGTGTTATTTTTAATTAACTTCTTTTAACCCTAGACCGGCAAAGTTGAACAAGGGTGTTAAGAGCTGCTATCTTCCTTGAAGTGAAAGGAAGAAAGTTCTCCTACAAGCACCAAACATATTCATGGACATCTTTGCTTCTGTGTCTGTTTCTAAAGCCTGTCTAGCACTGATGATGTTACCTAGTTGGGTAATGAAACGTCTGCAAGAAAACAATCTCAGAGCACACCAAGGACCACCACCACGTCTGTTACTTTTATAAACTCAACTCGTCTATCATCCAACAAGCCTTCTTTGGGGATGCCCTAAAATCTGTCTTAATATTAGGATATACAGTGTTGCTGTATTATTTATTTAATAGCCACCCACACGGTAATTCTGGGCAGCATGCAGCATTACAAATAAATAATATAAAGACTCAGAAACCCCCACCCACCTCCCTCCATGGCAGCCACAAACACAATCGCACAAGCCACTTGATCTGCTCTAAGGCCCACTGAGAAAACAATGCTTTGAAGGTTCATTATTGTTATATTTAATTATATTGCTATCATGTGCTCGGTTGTTGTGTATAAACTACTACAGCATCCTTTCAGAGGTGTAAGAATGGTCTAGGCGTGCACGCACACCTGCCTTCATGTGTGTCTACATAAAACATATGTGCACATCCCTTTTTTTAAAAAAAAAAAAAGCTTCTACATATTGGAGAGTGTAGTCCTTCCTTCCAAGCTCAGTAACATCTGCTCCAAGGCATTCTTTCAAAAAATGTTAACGTGTTCTACTGAACTGGAAGATACACAGACAAGTGGAAATGTATAGAAGCATAAGCTTAGGGAGCAAACGGCAGGAATGAGAAAAACTACCAGAACAGAATCCTTCCAGGGGTTGTGACAAAATCAAAAGTATATCATCAAAACAAAACAAAAAAAGCACAAGAGCAATTGCTCTGCCACCCTGGGAGAACAGAATACTTGTTATATGCGAATCCAAAGGCAAATGTTATTTGATCCGATCCATATTTACCAGACTGCGCCTGTCTGGTGCCCTCAGCACCATGGCCAGCTCCTTAGCTGGCCAAGCTGAAGAGGAACTGGTTAAGACAGTGGTTCTCAACCTTTTTAATGCCGTGACCCCAACCGGTCGTAAGTAAAGGACTAAACCGGTCGTAAGTCGAGGACTAAACTGGTCGTAAGTCGAGGACTACCCAACCGGTCATAAGTTGAGGACTTTCCCTGCCCGGGAGCGCCGCACATGTGTGGTTCCGCCCCCTGTGCCGGCCGAGGCGTAGCTGGCAAGCGGCAGAGACGGAGCAGGCCGACCACCAGCTGGCCCAGCCCAAGGGAGATAAGGCACCCGCTGGAAAAGGGGGAAAAAATGGCGGACAAAAAAAATGGTGGACAGCCTTGCTTGGCGACCCCCGTGAAATGGTCGATCGACCCCAAATGGGGTCCCGACCCACAGGTTGAGAACCACTGGGTTAAGACCTCCACCTTAGGGCATCCCATGACAAGAAGCTTTCTCTACTATTCTTGGTCATGTAAGATTCAACTGTCCTTCTCCTCCCACCTACGTTCACTCCTCTTGTGTGTGGAAACAGATAGGAAGGGGCAAAAAAAGGGGGGAAACAACCTGCTCCAAAAGCAAAATGTTCCAATATCTCAGGGGTTGCCACCAAGAAGAGGGGCTGAAGGCAGGACATGAAGCAATGGATGGAAACTAATCAAAGAGAGAAGCAAGCTAGAACTAAGGAGAAATTTCCTGCACAGTGAGAACAATTAGAATCAGTGGAAGGACTTACTTCCAAGAGTTTTGAATGCTCCAACACTGGACATTTTTAAGTAGAGATTGGACAACCATTTGTCTTGAATGATAGGGTTAGGGCAGTGGTGGCGAACCTATGGCACGGGTGCCAGAGGCGGCACTCAGAGCCCTCTCTGTGGGCACGCGCGCCGTCACCCCAGTCCTAGGCCTTCAGCTGGGTTTTATAAAACCTTTTCACTTTAGGTCTCCACCTCCGTGTGCAAAAAAAAAAAAAAAAAAGGTTCAATCAATCAGCCAATTTCAACTTCTTGCAGGAAAAAAAAAGATCTTGCAAAGTTGGAATTGATTGATTGAACTTTTTAGTCCCAACCAGTCTGCCGTTACCACCGCAGCCACGCCCACCCAATTGGCCACACCCACCCGGCACCCAACGATGCATAAATGGGTTTTGGGTTGCAGTTTGGGCACTCGGTCTCTAAAAGGTTCGCCATCACTGGGTTAGGGTTAGACTGTGAGGCTAGATTAGAAAAGGGAAAACTTGAGAAGGGGAGAAACAACTCAGAGCCAGGGTTTAATTGACAGAAACCCAAACTGCTTTGCCCCCCAGAGCAATTCTCCTGAAAATATTGGGCTGTAAAGGAAACGGTGTCTAGCTGTATTGCCATTTTGGACTTTAACTTAGCCTCTCAGGATCCATTTCACTGGCTCATCTTAAGGCAGGGCTGGGCAATTTTAATTTAAACTTTGTCTCTGTAACCCATTTCAATCAGGCCCCCAGTCTTAAAACTCTTTTTTAGGAATGGCCATGGCGTTAAAATTTCCAGTGGGACAACCAAAAGCACGGAACGGTAATTATAGTTAAAATGAAGTGCACACATTCAAAGCTCCTGCCGTTGGGAAAAGACACCAGGCAATGCCCGTCCTGCTTTTGATCTCCTCTGAGGCACTCGGCTGACTAATATTAGAAGCAGATTGCTGGGCTAAATCATTTCTTAATAAAAGAAATTCAACCAGAGAATGCTGGTCTACAGCCCCACCTAGTGGACGTTATGGCAAACTGCCCCCCTCCCCAAATGAATAAGGCAAGGCCCTGCAAGGTGCATTCACAACAGCAAAATTTTTGTCAGCCTTAAAAAGAAAAAAAAACCTTTCACAATAACTAGACCAGTGGTTCGCAACCTTTTTAATGCCGCGACCCCAACCGGTCGTAAGTCGAGGACTAAACCGGTCGTAAGTCGAGGACTAAGCCGGTCGTAAGTCGAGGACTTTCCCTGCCCGGGAGCGCCGCGCATGTGTGGTTCCGCCCCCTGCGCCGGCCGAGGCATAGCTGGCAAGCGGCAGAGACGGAGCAGGCCGACCACCAGCTGGCCCAGCCCAAGGGAGGTAAGGCACCCGCCGGAAAACGGGGGAAAAATGGCGGACAGTCTTGCTTGGCGACCCCCGTGAAATGGTCGATCGACCCCAAATGGGGTCCCGACCCACAGGTTGAGAACCACTGAACTAGACATACCCTTTACACTTGCCACATCTCTTTACTTTCTGTCAAAGTCAAGACTTTCTGGTGAGCAAATTAACACTTGAGACGATTATACCAGGAAGATTGTTTCATTCAAAATTTTGTTGACATGTGTTAGCATTATCTTGAACTCTAAAAAGGTAATATTGAATCTATTATTTCCTTCCCAAAATGAATGACAGTGTTTGTTTGTTTTTAACTCTCAAAAAGAAACCTATTTAAGGCTGAATGGGACTTCTGCAGGGGGAAATCCTTCATTTGATTCATCTCAACCTCCTGTTTCAATAAATGTTATTGAAACAGGAGTAAGGTGGAAGAATAGGCTTTTTAAAATGCTACGCATTTAAAATAATGAACTACTTTCCAGTTAATCAGGCACGCTTTCCTATTTAATGAAGCATTTCTCATCAAATCAGAGAAACATATTGGTCTGAGAAAATTTTGGCGATCCGTTAACGCAGATGATTACCAAATTAACTCATAGGTTGGTGGTTCCTTTTTATATTCAACCTTATTCGTTCTTCATTACCACGTTTCACTCACGCTAGTATCTTCTCCATCCCGAACGAGAGAAAAAAGTTATACAGCGCGCCGCTGAAAAAAGAAATCACCACGCCTTTTAATTTCTATTTTATTTTAATATGAAATAACAAAATGCTCCCCCAGCCGTGGGAATGAGCCCAGTTAGCAAGAAACAAAATAATTATAATAATCATTCGTATCCTGGATCATGAAAGATATCTGAGAGAAGGAAGGGAACCAACAGCAAACGGGGAGAGAATCCGATAATGAACAGAGCAGACTCGGTCAAGAGGGGACATACAACCCAGCTCAATCCCAAGCAGGAAGGGGATCAACAACAACAACAGCCCCCCCCAACACACAAAAAAATCAGCCTTAGAGGAATTCAACTGTGGAGAAGATTGCCGTGGGCATTGCTAGAGCCAAGGGTTGTCCAAATCGGAAGAGAAATTGTTCCATTCTGCTGAGAGGGGGGGGGGAAACGGCCCAATACCAACCAGGAGGGGCGGGAAGCATCGGACCACAGGATGGCATGGAGTGCCCGGCCAAGAGTACGGCTATCGGAGTGGGAAGTGAGTGGGACAAAGTGACACCCAGCTCATTTACAGAATGGGTGGAGAAATAAAGGATGCAATCGCATTCCAGGAACGCAGAGAGCAGCAGAAGTACGGAGTAAAGGCGGAGGAGTCCTTTCGACAAACACCAGAGCCTGCGAAGGGGGAGCCAAAGAGTAGCCGCTCAGGAGACCAGCTGCCCCTCCTCACTCCCCCCAGCCCGACTCAAACGCCCCCAATCTGGACGTTTTCCATCTGGATGTTCTCAAAGTGGACGCCTCCATCCGTTGGGTAGATCTCAATGGTCTCCACCACCGGGATGGTTTCCATAATGGTCACCGTGTTGCCGTAGACGGGCTCGCTCGAAACCACCGAGGCGGAAGAGGTTGCCGTCGCAGCTGCGGCGGCGGCAGCGGCAGCAACGGCCTCGGCCATGACTTCCTGCTCGTGCTGCAGGCGCTGCTGCTGATGCATTTTACGATGCTTCCAGAGGTTGGAGAAGGAGCGGTAGGCCTTTCCGCAGGCGTCGCAGTGGTAGGGGCGCTCTCCCGTGTGGATGCGCTTGTGTTCGGCCAAGCGCACCGCAATCGTGAAGGCCTTCCCGCACTCCTCACACTTGAAGGGCTTCTCCCCAGTGTGCAAGCGCCGATGATCCTTGAGGTGGGTGGACTGTCGGAAGGCCTTCCCGCAATCCGGGCAAGGGTAAGGACGCTCGCCGGTATGGATGCGGCGGTGGACCTGCAGGGATGTCTCCGTGCTGAACAATTTCTTGCAGTCGCTACATTCAAAGGCCTTCGGGCAGGCCGGGCGGCGGGGACGGGGCGGGGGCGGTTCCAGCACCGGCGGTTCCTCCTCGACCCCTTCGGGGATCTGGATGTCCCCGTGCAGCCGTTCGTGGGCTCTCAGTTGCACCGTGGAGCCCACCTTCTTGCCGCACACGGAGCACTCAAAGTGGCGGCTCATCTTGCCACACTTGTGTTCCTTCAGCTGCTCGGCAGTGACAAAGGCAGCCCCGCAGCCAGAGGTGCAGCGATGCGGCTGCTGGCCCGTGTGACTGAGCTGGTGAACCTCCAGCAAGCGGCGAAGCAAGAAAGAGCGCCCACAGGTCTGGCACTTGTAGGGATACTCCCCGGTGTGGTGATAGCGGTGCATGAGCAGGCGGTAAGGCCGGTGGAAGACGCTGCCGCATTCCTGGCATTTGTAAGGATAGTGGCGACTGTGGACCAAGAGGTGCTGCTGCAGGGTGGAGGACTGCGTGAAGCACTTTTGGCAGATGTCACAGCGGTAGGGACGCTCACCCGTGTGCGTCAAACGGTGGCGCTGCAAATTGGCCGGGGAATTGAAGCTCTTGCCACACTCCTTGCAGTGGTACGGCCTCTCCCCCGTGTGCGTCAGGAGGTGGTTGCGCATGTGGGACTTCTTCTTGAACATCTTGCCGCACGTCAAGCATTTGTGGCGGCGCTCCATCTTGTGGGCAAAGCGCTGATGGCGTGACAGCTGGGTCTGCTTGGGAAAGGCCTTGCTACACATCTGGCACTGAAAGTCGTCAGACTTTTTCTCCTGGGCGCCACTGCCCTCCATGGAGGTGCCGCTGCTGCCCACAGAACAAATGAGGGCCAGAGGGATAATTTCCTGCTTTTCTTCGGGTTGCTCGGGGGCTTCCGGGGGCTCTTCCTCCAGGGGCTGGTCCTCGGGAGGAGAGGAAGGCAATTCGTAGATCTGGGCCGAATTGGCACTGTGGGAGCGCCGGTGATAGAGAAACTTGGTCATGTTGATGAAAGTCTTGCCACAGGTGCAGCGGTACATGGGGTTTGGCGAGTGGGTGCGCCGGTGGGACAGCAGCACCGCCTCGGTGCCGAAGCCCAAGCCACACTCCACGCAGAGGAAGCGCGACTCGCCACTGTGCTCCTCCCGATGTTTCTCGAGAGCAGCTGGAGACGGCAGGACCTTGCTACACAGTGGGCATTTGAAGGCACCCTGCCGGTGGCTCCTCATGTGCAGCTGCAGCTTATGGGCTGAGGGAAACAGCTGGTCGCACTCAGTGCACAAATACTCCTTGACGGCCTGCTTCACTTTACGGGGAGGCTGCTCCCCAGGGTTGTTTTTAAGTTCGTAACTGTGATCCGTGGCTGTGACGCTAGTCTGGATTTGTGCCGGCACAGCACCATTTTGTACGGCCATTAAACTTGGCGGCAACAACTCCTTCGGCTCCGCAGGGCAAGAAGCAGGCACCTCCCTAATTTGTGTCCCCGGGGTTGGCTGTATCACTTGATGCGAGGCCTGGTGCTCTAGGAAGTCTGTGGTGGACTGGAATAGCTGGAAACACTCGCCACACTCGTAGAGCAATAACTGCACAGTTCCACAGGAATCTCCCCCTTCCTCTGGCTTACGGTAGGAATGCTCCAGGTTTACAAGGGCCTGACTCTGAGGAGGAGGAGGTGGTGGTGGTGGTGGAGGAGGAGCAGCAGTAGCTGCTGCAGGTTCTGGTGGCTTGCGGTGGCTCTGACGGTGGGCAAGCCACACATCCTGACTGGTAAACAGGGCTTTGCATTCTATACATTCGTAGTGGATCTGACTGGAGCTCAGAGGTTTGACCAAAGGTTCAGGTTCATGAGTAACCATCTTCAAGTGCATTTCCTGATGTTCAAGCAACTGACTTGGAGACATGAGAATCTGTCCACACTCCAAACATTGGTACTGGCTTTCCTGCACAGTCACTGCTTGATAGAGACCAGCCTCGCCACTTGCCATCAAGCCAGCTTCTGCCAACCCAACGACTTCATACTGCTGCTCCTGGGAGCACATGTGATTCTGCTGATGCACCAAAGCATCCTCTAAGGAGCTAAACTGCTGGTTGCACTCTGAGCAGACATAGCGATGCTCTACATACAACAGAGCTTCTTCCGCTGATTCAGCCATCACGAAAGATGGCTCCCAGTGTACTGGGAAGAGAGAAAGAGAGAGAGAGAAAAAAATTAGGGGGCTGATTGGAACATCTGGTTGATTGATGAGAACAAACACTGAAGTTATTTTAAAAAAGAACCATTTTGTAATGCAAGTACTTTCAAATCCATGGGTGGCAGGAAACTACACAGAAGCATTCTTTTCAGACAGAATTGCAAACTGCTGTGATATGTGAATGTATCCCTTTTAAAAAAGAAATAAACCTTTCTCATTCAATTAAAAACCAAGATTTTTTGAACTAGCAACATCTGTCTCCTATATTAGAAGGCTTACTTCTATTCATTATTGCTTCAGGATATGAAAAATTAAATATTGAAGATGTCGTTTTCTTGTAACAAGGACATTGTTATAGAAAGTGTAACAATGCAATTAAGAAAAAAGAACATTATTTGATTTCTGTTCAGATTATTTGAGTTCTCCAATATTATCTACTGAGACTGACACACACACACTCTCTCATTAAACATATTATTGTTCCTTAGTTTGGGGTTCTCCCACAATATTTATTTGACTCCTACAGCTGCCCATCTCAATAAGTAACTCTGGGCAGTGTACATCATGAAGCATGAAGCATAAAGCAAGCAAAACAGTACAAAGTAAATATTTATGGCACCAAGTAAAAATCAATCTGAATGCCAATCCGATTTCGGGATTATACTAAATTATTCAGGAAGATAAAGCCATGGAGGGATTGCAAAAAGCTCCAAAAGAAAATGTCTAAATTGGCAGATGAATTGAAATTGCTCCATTTAAATCGGGGGTCTTCAAACGTGGCCCTTTTATGACTTGTGGACTTCAACTCCCAGAATTCCTCAGCCAGGCACGCTGGCTGAGGAATTCTGGGAGTTGAAGTCCACAAGTCATAAAAGGGCCACGTTTGAAGACCCCTGATTTAAATGGACCACAAAGTTCTTGTCTCCCCTCTTCTGCCTGAAGATACAAAGTTTTCGCCAGCTTCAGAAAATCATAATTTCATACACTGAAGAGACCTTTTAAATTATCTAGCCCGGGGGTAGGCAACCTTGGCTCTTTTATGACTCGTGGACTTCAACTCCCAGAATTCCTGAGCCAGCCATGCTGAGGGGAAAGGGAGAGGCTTCCATGCTGAGCCAAGCTGGCTCAGGAATTCTGGGAGTTGAAGTCCACGAATCATAAAAGAACCAAGGTTGCCTACCCCTGATCTGGCCCAATCTCCTGATCCATGTAGGAAGTTATTAAATCAGTCCCCATTTGACAGCTGCTAACCAGGAGTTTCCTAGAACTGCTCTAGACTAATTTTTCTACTTCTTAACACTTCTTACAACACAGAAATGATCTCTAATATTCAGCCAGAATCTAATTTCAACCCCTTGCTCTTTCTCCTATTCTTATTTTCTTGAACATGGCATCCTTTAAAATATTTGTTCACGACGATCTCATCTCCCCTTACTGTAGTATTTTCTTCCCACTAAACTAATCCAATTCTTTTTAATGTCGGCTTCCAAATCCATATCGACTTAAGAGCAATTATCTGCCACCCCCTCCCCCCTTCAACCTCTCTATGTCCTTTCAAAGAACAATGCCCAGGCTGCTTGCACAATGCTCCAATGTGGTCTAAGCCAGTGGTTCTTAACGTTTTTGAACGAATCGCCCCCTTGAGCCAATGAGGAAGTTGTCATTGCCCCCCTCCCCCAACATAACCTCTCAATCACAACATAGGAAATAATTCTTCAATTTATGCAAACACTTTTTTTTGTTTTCTTTAAAATTGTCATCAGGACATATCGATGCAAATAATTTATTTCCAGTCTTTTTCCCATATCTCCCATATTCTGGCCAATGGCACGCCACTGTATGGGTAGAGGCTGCTGCACAACGCGCATGAAGATAAGCGATGCGTCTTCACATACGTACGGCGTTCCGTACTGAAGCTAGCTGGAGGAACATTTGAAAACACAATTCAATCCACTAATAGCGAGCGATCTGATGTTTTTGTACGACAGATATACAGCCATTCACTGTACGAAAAAGTCTCAAAAGTGTCGTCAAAACCTCTCGCTCCATCGCCCCCATATCGCCCCCTTTTCGTTCCTTCGCCCCCCGCGTCGCCCCTTTTCATTCCATCGCCCCTCTGAAAAATGAAATCGCCCCCTGGGGGCGATATCGCCCAGGTTAAGAACCACTGGTCTAAGCAATATCGTTTTATCTAGTTTCTCTCACATTACCTTCCAGGCCTCAATTCAAAGACCTTCTCAAGACCCTAGAAACTCATCCAGTCTGGCCTCTGTCAGCAGCAACATGCGCCCGGTTTCGGAGCAGGAGGTCTTTTTCTGAAAGCTTGAGTTTAAAAAAAGAAGACAGCAGAGAAGGTTGCAGATCAATTTCATCCCCCCCTCAGGTCCCAGCTTCCGACCCACCCTTCAGAGTCAAGGAGTCCCACGCCGCCTCCTTCAAGCCTTCCATTGTTAAGCTACAGGAGGAAGCAGAAGTCCTAACTCAGGCGTCCCCTTCACCCCCACAGTTCCACCTCACTTTTACACACACACACACACACACACAC